CGAAGAAAGGGAACTGACCTAGTTGAGGGACCCACGGACCTCCTGAGGGTGCGCAATTCGCATGGAAAAATTTGACCTCGGCGACCTATCATGCCTCAAAGCTGGCGGGTCCGGCGATCTCCGCCCACCGATCATCTGATCACTCGCCGTAGTTCAATACGTGGCGAGTGATTAGATAGCTGAGAGAGCGTAGTGTTGAAGAGGGCACAGCGATGAGAGTCGCATCAATGCTCGAATCAACGGGCAAGGAAGGGGTCCATTTCTCGGGTTCTGGGCCGTTTCTCATGGTTCTTCCTTCTTTCGTGTACCACTCACCATCCCTAGGTTAATTTGAAATGGGTTGCTTTTTCATCGTGAATTCGTCCTTTAAAGCCAACATTCCCGACGCATTACTCCCATTCGTCGTCTTCGGAGGCTTCAGACTCACCCGCACCGATACCTGTTCCACGCCAAAATAAAGTAGAACGTTTATCTTATTCTAACCGATATATCATTCTTCGAAGGGAGCGTGAAGCCCTCCTAGTTAACTAACTAACTACTTCGTGCAACATCCATGTTTCCCAGTGTCAACATAAATACTGTTGTTCTTTACGCTTTATGGTCTGCAAACATGGAAGGAAAAAGCAGTAATTGATTTTTTTTCTGGCCATTATCTGTGCAGAATGTAAACATATAGTGGCGTTTGATTGTCTTTCAAGCAACTTCTTTAATGAATCCGCTTTGAGAGGTGTCACAAACAAATAATTAGAGAAACAAATCACACTTCCAGTTAAGGTGGCTGTGATTGCAGGTGTTGGAACGCGAGACCCGCTGGCCGAGTATCGACGTGAGGAACAGCGCTTGAAAAACACCAACAGCCCGTTCGAAGACATGCCGAGGTGAGTTTCCTTGTCTCAGTGCAAAATGTAGGCCACATAATTTGGTTTAAAAATTAAATTTAAGGTGTTACTTGTATAATTCTATGCTAAGACAGTAATGTTTACCGACTGTACACTTGATTGCACTTAAATGAATAACTAGATAAATAGGTAAATAAATAAATAAATAAACAAAGGCGCTCACGCAAGATACTGGGCACCCTCTAGGATAGGGCGGGGATAAAAACCGCGATGAAAGCGAACACCGTTAGGATTTCTCCTTGCCTAAGGCGAAATCCCATTGAAAAAAATGAGATGCTTCGCGGTACAACAATGCCCCCGTGAGTTGCGAGCGCTTAAAAATAACAAATTACATGTGGTCAAGTTTTGTGAAAATGTTGATGCCCCCGTCCCCCCCCCTTTCCTTATCTCTCTAGCTCTACTTTTCAAACATTTTATTGAAAAAAACCCTGATTGGAGTCACAAAGCTTCTCAGAGCGGCCATTCACTACAGACAGAATCTTACCTCTTTTCACACCCTGACACTTTTTACTGCCCATGAGCCAAGTAGGGTACTGCGGAACATCTTCCGAAGTCCCGACATGATCATGAGATTCCCAGAGAGTAAATTGCTGTTCTGTTCTCCCATATAGTCGGCCATTCCACTATTCTCGCTCTAGACCACCTCTCATCACTTTGGCTGTCAGCCCTTAGCAAAACTGTTTCGGTTACTTCGGTTCTGTTCCACCGGGATAGTCGTTGAAGCCGGCTATTTGAGAAAAGTCGGACCTAAACGTAGTTGCTTCAGACGAGGTCGCCTTCGTAGCAAGCCACCGACACCTCCACCTCGGGATCGTAGCCGCAGTCCAGCAAGAAGCGAACGAGCGACGCCAAGTATCGAGGTAAGCGGCTATTTCACGCTTTTATCGCCTTGTTCATTCGTTTTACTTTTACACCTGTTTTATTGCTGAGCTAATACCACTTGCAAAACAATTTCCGTTTTCTTGGAAACACGCAAAACGATTCCCGGGAATTCTTCTCCATTACACACTAAACTCGGTTGTTGTCTATAAATTTTGCGCCTAATCACAGAGACTACAAAATTCTTACGCCGGTCCTGGGAACACCGAAGTGAAGAATCGCAAGAATCTCCCCGAAAATGTTTCGAGTCAGATAGATGACCCAGCTTTTTCAGAGCTACAGCTATCGCAATCACAATGGCGTCCACGAGCCAAATTCGCACGATTTCTCAAATCTGAACAGTATTGTTTACGTGAGTACTTTTAAAGTACTTTTGAACTTTGTAAATAGGTAGGCGTCATTTTAGTTGTATTTTCCTAAGCCTGGTGCGAATCATGGCCTCGTTGAATGTAAGCTTAGATTGCTCAAAAATGCCTTCTGACCAATAATTATGTACCCAGTATAAATACGTACCACCGTAACCTAGAATAGCGGGGGCATCTGACCGCTCTGATAGCCACTAAGAAGTCCCCCTCTCCGCTTATGGGAAACCCCCTTCCCCCAAAAAATTCCAACATTTCCTGCAGCGAAGTGTTAGAGGTGGGAGTAATAATAGGATAATTCCCGCCGATGTGGTCAAGCGGAAAAATCACTTATGCTTGACGAGTTTCCGAAACCCTATGAAATGAATAGAGAGGATGGGAGCCTGATAGAAAGAAAAGCGAGGAATACGGTATCTGTACAGGTTCTGGTTGTTGTTATTTATATGCTGTAGGTGGTTTTTTTGGAAGTTGCTTTCGGTTACAGTAACTATGAAAAATTACCCAAACAAACTAAAGAGAGGAACTAAATGGTGAAAGATAGTGTTAACGACATAGCTAGACTATTGAGCAGGAGCGTAATTAGCAAGCATTTGAAGTCTGGTTCGGGCGGCTATTGAAAGATACGGCAGGCAGCACCAAAAGCGGGAGGTCGTTCAGGGTATGCCAAGCTTCAAAATGGTTTTTTTGGGATGAGATAGGGGCACATGTGGGAACCACGAGAACCACGGTTCTTTTTTCCTAAACGGCCCTCTGAATACCAGAAAAGGGGTGATGAAAGTGGTCCGTGGTTTCAATTCCTTGCGGTGAGAAACTTTTGCACTTTAGGTTGGGGTTTCAGAATTTGTGCAAAATGGGCGTCCCGGCGCGTTAAGATTGCCATGTCTTGTCATAATGGATCCATCAGAAAACCTTACAAATCAACGTTGTTGAACATATGTGCCACAAGTAAGCATTTAAAAACCACAGTACCCAACGTAATCTTTCTTCGCCCCTTTTTTAGTATTCAGAGAGCCATCTAGGAAAAATGAACCATAGTTTTGTGGTTTCTGCATTTGCACCAATATACATGCGAAAGAATCGTTTTTGAAAAAGGTTGGACACACCCTGACCTGTCCTCCCATGTAGATGAACCCGAAAGGGCGAGAACTTCTGGAAAATGAGAAGTGCCCACGCACTTTGGAGTTTCTCATCCCTTTTCTAAGGCTTACTTCCGTTTTGAACAAAAACGAGATATCTCACGCGACTTCAGACTGTCATTGTCACCACAATGCCCCGTATCTTGCGATAGCACCGCCTTTCTTTAGTTCACTCAAAAATTGTGGAAGACGGACAATGCAAGGTAGCGCCGCCGCGACATGTGTGATCTGGGAATAAAACTCGACACCGAAATCCGCCCCTACGGGCTGACCTCCGACACCTGCACGGCTGCTCAACTTGAAGCGGAAGACAATCCTTTCCTGGGATTTTCATCCGGGTCTTAGCTTCTCTTCAACAAAAAAAAGCGAAAAACTGGCTATTACTACTTACTGTTTCTGTATTAGATCTTCTTTTAAAAGCCCACTCTCATCAAAGCTAGACGGTAACATTTACAAGTGAACTTCAAAAGAAGCTTACATTAGGTCATTACGTTCTGTAATTACCTTCTGAACTTGCCCCCGAAAAACTGTTGTCGATGCCTCTGATGTGCAAGTGGAGGCCTCAGTAGAGGCCAAGAACTTTCAAAGGAATCCAGAAACAAAAAAATCATCTCAATAGTTTTTAGCCATCATTTTCATAGCTATACTTTCTAGGGGAACTCCAACGCCACGCCGTACTCGTCCAAATCTGAACAGCATATTCCGAACGGGCATTTGCCGTCATCAGTAGGTCGCCGTGAACCCGCGAGCAGTATCCTTCGTGGAATGTCACATCAGGAGCAATCGCGTTCTGAATCACGTCCTACTCTTCAGCGTCGTCAGTCCTTCGGCACTGAACGACCACCATTTCCAGTATGCGGACACCACTCTGCAACGCAACAATAACGAACCTCCTAAATACATCTCAGGACAGGTAATCACTGGGCACATAGGTGAAAATAGGTCTAAAAACAAATTCTGCCCTTTTAGGAACGTGTCGCTGCCGCTATCTACCGAGCAGAAACGCCTCAGCGGGAACTTTATGCCAGTGGCACGATTCACCGATCCGAAACACCGAATCGGTACTTCCCTGAAAATGTTAGTTCATGTGATTTGTTTTGATTTCACAGCATTTTTAAGGCTTACGGATCCAAATGGTTCTCCTTGGGCCATATAATTACCGTATCCTACTTCAAAGTGCAGTTACCTTTCAGAGCACATTCGCGCGCAGTGAAACTCCAGCGTTTCCGATTCTGCGCGAGACGCCAGTGCCATTCCATCCACTTCTGTACGGCCAGAATGGCACCAGTCGACAAGACCTCGATCAATCGAACAGCCTCAACTACAGGTAATCTTCAGTAGTAAAATCAATAAATATTGCCAGTGAACTTGAATGGCGGTTAAGAAAAAAAAAGAAGCAAAGAACAAGTTTATATTTATGATTTATCATCGGTGATTGATTTAAACAATGGCAGATCACAGTTATGTGACAGATAACCACAAGAAGGATTCAAAAAAATAAATAAACAAAAATAATAGTAATATCAAATTACCGGTAGCGGTTCGAAAAAGTATTCGCCAAAATGGCTTTTCGCGCAGTAGCATTTTTTTAAATAGCTTTACTATCTACTGCATTTTTTCTTTTGAATATCTTGGCCCCACAACCCTCGAGAATTAGAAAACACCAAAATATTTAGCATATCACTATT